AGGAATGCCACAGGTACAATCAGGAGAGACACAAAGAGAGAAGGCCCATTCCAGAAAGCAGAGACAGACAGTTATGGGGATTCTCCCAGAGAAAGTCCCTTTGCCAAAGAGACCAAGAAACCTCAAAGAAGTGTCCAAGCAAGAGCTATAAGGCAACCTGGCAGCAGGGTTGGAATTACACTTTGACTCTTGGGGAGGTCTGCGGTGGTGGCAATCAGAAGGAACTGCCACCGCCACCACCACCATCTGGGCTGCTTAGAAAGGCATGGGGAAGGCCAGGGGCTGACCACCTGCAGAGGGGCTCTCATCTCTTATGAGGGGACTCAGCCCCACCAAGCTCCACTATAATTCAAATCCTGCCAGGCACCCACATGCACCACCAAACACTCTGCAAATCCTGCTGCACTTTGCCAGTGACTCAGGCACTGTATTCAATATCAAGCCAGTGTTTTATATAGTGGTTTCTATGCATTGTGAAGCTCTGGGTCACAGCAGCTGTTGCTGCCAGCAGGTGTAAGGACCTGGCTGGGTTGAGATTAATGCCTCTCCTTTAGGCTGGGGAGAAAGGGGGTATTTAATACTTTAAGCACAATTCCTCAGAGCTGTCATGCTCTCTCTGCTAAGGCCCCATTCCAGTACAGCACTGTGTAGAGGTACAGAGCAGACTTACGTAGACAATCCCTCCAGTTTGCCATAGAGCCAGCCATTCTGTGCATCTGGCATCAGCACAATGATAACATCACCCGTGTTGAACGGTAGTAGGGTCCGGTTGGTGCCAGTAGAGTGGGGCACGATAGCTTGGACTCTCAATCTATTGCCTCCACCTCTGCCTTCCCCTCCGATGGGCTCCCCAAAGGAGCTGCAACGAGAGTGCTGCCCAGTGGAAAGCAAGCCTGGCAGAAGCAGACATAGCATGAGAAGAAGGGCTGGGGAGGGGGGTCAGCTCTAGGCTTCCTCAATGACAGAGGCCTCATACCACCTGGAGCAGTGGTTCTCAACGTTTTTGTACCAGGACCCATCTGTAAACATCAATGGCCAATCTCGACCCAGTGCCCCTCACTCCCAACCCACTGCCACCCTATCCCAGGCCCCCAGTGTATGGGGCAGGGAGGGGGGACCCCAAGCAGACCCTTGTAGGCTGGAGCTCTGCCAGTCTGCAAGGAAAAAGCCACAGTTTCCCACATTTCTCTCTTTTAAAGGACAATCCATTTTTAAAGTTTGTTGATCCCACAAGGGATGACAAGGTCGAACGGTTATAAACTCCTGCAAGACCGTTTCAGGCTGAACATAAGGAAGAATTTCTTTACTGTCTGAGCCCCCAAGGTCTGGAATAGCCTGCCACCAGAGGTGGTTCAAGCACCTACATTGAACGCCTTCAAGAGAAATTTGGATGCTTATCTTGCTGGGATCCTATGACCCCAGCTGACTTCCTGCCCCTCGGGCAGAGGGCTGGACTCGATGATCTTCCGAGGTCCCTTCCAGCCCTAACGTCTATGAAATCTATGATCCATTTGTAAAGTTTGCTCATGCCCCTTTCATATATTTTTGCAACCCACTTTTGGGTTGCACCCCACAGGTTGAGAAATGCTGGCCTAGAGTGAGAAGCCTCTGAGTCCATTCAGCCCTGTATTTCATTCTCTCTCACATAGGGTTTCTTTAATAGTGCCCTGACCCAGCGCTGCATGGTTTATCCACTCCAAACAAGCTGAGTGAAGAATACAGACTCCATGTTCACTCAGTCCAGGCTCTACCTACTCCCCATCCAAGCCCACTCCCCTTCCCTGGACCATCCGCCCCCTCCCTCCTGTACAGTGGGTGCCCATGTGCATGTTGGAACAGATGCATGAAGTTCCATGTCCTTCCTAAATCCATCTTGTAGCTGACCTTACCAGCAGAGGGACTCCTCTGCAGGGTTCGCTGAGTGAACTCTGGCTGAGAAGAGGATATAATTTCAGAGGACTCCTGGGAGAAGGTGCTTGAATTTTGTCCTCCCAAGGCAGAGCCATAATCTCCTAGAGGTCTCTGGGACTGCTGGGGGGAAACAAGAGTGAGCGCAAGTAGTTTACACAGAGGATCTCACACTGAGACATGCTGATGTCCCCTGAATAAGTATATCTGCTCCCACCTCCAACACCCCCATCCACCATATACCATATCTCCTTTCAGCTTGGCTAGCAAGTGTCACCAAGAAAGGGCAATTAGGTATACAAATAGGTAAAAATGAACAGGAGATCCCCCCTCCCCACCAAAAAAAATACTTGCAGAAGGCCTGAGCCTGCCCTCTGTCCTAGGATCTGACCCCCAGGATATGTCATTCCAGTCACCCCCTACCACTGGAGCTAATGGTTCTTTGCATTCTCCTCACCATCTCCAGGTGGCTTGGAGTTAGGCGGCCTGACAGGTACCCTGAGCTTGGTGAAGCACTGAGGTGACTCTGGGAGTGGCTGCTGACCAGGGTGCGGCTGGCCTCCAGCTGCTCCTTCCACAGCGGCACCTTGTTCTGAATGATACCCCGGGCCTTAAGAAGAGAAAGTGAGGGGGACATCAGAGGCAGGGAATCAAGTCTTGGAGCAGAGCAGCAATTAAAGAGAGAGGAGACCAAAACAAGCAGCAACCTGTAGCCAACACAGCCCCTATTCTCTCCATCTGGGTGAGGCTGTCCCAGATGGGCTCTCCAGGGCCTCTTGCTTCTGCCACGGAGAGGACACCCCATGGAGAGTCCTGTGGTTTATGGTTGTCTTTGTCAAGGTGTGGACCCTTCTTCCATGGCTCCCAGTGAAAAGCACCTCCTAGTTATGTGTATTTATGTGTTTCTAAGTGTACCAGTCACCATGGTGTCTACATGCTAGAGGTGATCCACTAGACCCCAACCAAATAGATCCTTACTGTTTCCTTGAAGGCACAAACTTAACCAAGATCACTTGTAAACTTCAGTAGGAGATAACCCCCAGAGACCCACCGCCCCTCTCTCTAGCTATCAATGGGTGTTTCGAATACCAGGGAAATGTCTATCATGCCTTGCTCCCCTCCCTCAAGTCCTTATATGTCTGAATGCCCCAAGCCAAAGTGCTTCCAGGAGGATTCATCCTGCCCCCAACTGCAGGTCATGACCCCTCCATACCCTGTTGTAGAACTGGAGGAAGGTGTTGGAGAGCAGCTGGTGCTTTTCAGCCAGGAACCGATAGCGGCGCTTCTCCTCCAGTTCAGCAGCCTTTTGGCTCTCAGAGACAAATGCCTGCATCTCCGAGTGCAAGCACCTCACATTCTCCTGAGGGGCAAAGGAGAAAGAGAGGAAGGAGAGGTATAAGCCAACTTTGCACTGAGCACATTGGAGGGAATGTGTCCAGGTTTTCCCAGCGGGTTTTATGGGTTTAGGCAGGACAGAGAGATTAAAGGAAAGCAAGATCTGGTCCTTAACCTTTATGCCATCTAGCTAAGCCATCTGCCTCAAGCCTCTAGCACCAGTGAACTTCACAGGTTAACGATACCTTCTGTGGAAAGGTATTGCCTTCTCCCTGATGTCACCTTGTTGCCTGTTGAATCCCAGGGAGCACCTCCTAAGGAAGGCAGAGGCTATTCAGAAGCCATGTGAAGCTCCAGAGGAGTCACCAGCCTTAGTCTGTGAAGGCCCCACTCCTCTTCCCAGACCCTCACACTTCTCAGTGCCTTCCCTGTCTTCCTCACCTTCATATCCCAGGCACTCTTGTCTCGGGTCCTCTCCAGCTTCCACAGCTCTGACATGCACTTATCCAGGTTGGCTGCCCTGCGCCGGTACTCCACCTCATACCGCTGACGGCTGTCCTGCAGGAAGCAGAACACAGAGACAATAAGAAATATTTTCAAATTTGGTCACCTAAGCAGATAGTACCTTGACTAATTCTCTGCCACCACCACAGCAGGGCATTGATGGTGCTCTCCTGTCCCCTGTTCTTCTCCTGTGGAACGTTGCAGAGGGTTTCAGTAGGCCGTTTTGTGACTAGGGTCTAACTAGGGCCCTCTGCATCCTTTGCAGGAATGGTTGCCTATAGCCACAGGGAACTGAACTCAACTCTATGGGAAGCCTCTTCTAATTCTCAGCTCCTAATGTACTTTGGGTCATAAATATCACTCAAGTTCAGTGGGACTTATGAGTTACATTCTTAAAAAATATGTAGGTCCATCAGTCCCATTGAAATCAGTGGTAGGTAGGTGCCATATACCTTTAAAAGTCTGGGTCCAAGTTCCTATTGAAGAATGGGACTGAGGGTCCTAAACCATTTAGAATTATTCAACAAGTCTCAGCACACGGGGTCTTGGCCATGTCCACCCACCATATTACCAACAATGTGAGCAGGAAGGCAAAGAGAAAATCCTTCAGTTCCCTTCATCCAGACAGTGAGAGAAGCCTCTGAGCTTCTCTTTTGGGTTAAGCAACACTATAAATTACTGAGGCTATGAAAGCTGGAGCTGCCTTGAGGGACTCAAAGGAAGGAGAGGGCACAGCGAGGTGGAGGCAGTGAGCAGCCATCTTAAATCTTCTAAGTCCAGAACGTCAGGGCTATGTCCCAAAGAGTTCCTGAACTGGGACTTTTGACCCAAATTTGAACAATTAACTGAGTCCATCCAGGTCCTTTGTCTCCACATCTTCCCACAGCACCAGCTGCATCCTCTGAGAGGACATAGAGCAACACTGCCTGGTTCCAAGTGAACATGGTTATACTGGTTCTGATTTGGGAAGTAGCCATGGGCAGAGCTTATTAGCTGCCCACAGCACTACATTATAAACTATTTCCAGTTCTGGAGGTCTGTGGAGCCTCAAGGACCATGTCCTGGAATTTGCTCCCCTAATACATGGTTGTTTTAGGTGGGGATGAAGATCAGCCTAGCACTCTTCTTGGGAGAACAGGAAAACCTGCAAGAGGGTTCAGGAGGGACACGGAAGGGTTGTTGCTTACATTGATGAACTGCACATCCAATTTGGTGTTTTTCTCCATGTGCTGCAGCAGGTCTGCATGGAACTTCTGGGCCTAGAAAAAGTGCAAAAAATCATTAGGCACCACTCTGCTTCCCCACATGCCTGGCATTAGCAGCTGGCATTGCCAACTGCTAGTGTGACCTAACAGAGGAGAGTTAGGGAATGCCAGGGAGAAAATTGCAGAGTCCACACTTCATCTAGTTCATGTAATTGTATATGGTTTGGGGCAAGGACCATCTCTTGCTATGGGTATGTGCAGCACCAAGCACTGCTAGGTTTTAGTGTTAGTCTGGATGTCTAAGCACTTCTGTAATACAAGTAGCTAGCAACAGTACAGCTAGGAGCAACAGTACAGCTAGGAGAAGCAGTCTCCCAGTCACATGCCACGGATGGTATGAAGGCATTACTAACACTTCAGAACTGGATGTAGCTTAGATCCCACATGTGTGCACTCATGCACACAATTCTGCATGGTTCTGTTCATCAGCAACTGGGAAGTACTGAAACAATGGGAGGCCTCTTGCACTCCTCTGGTCCTCTGTTCCTAACAGATTTAGGAGCCATTATGGCTCCATAAAACAAATTCACATGGTGCGGTTACGTGCCAGTAGATCAGCACAGTGGGAAGCTACTCACCACAACTTCCAAATCAGAGTTCAAGAGCCTCTGGGTGTCAGACATCTGCATCAGAATTTGACCTTCAAAGAAATAGATCAAAGTCTCAGAGCCAGACCCTCCTCCTCCTGTTTATCAAGCTCCATTAACATTTGAGCAGTGTGGCCATTATTACTGTTACAAGCAGTCAACATTATGTCACCCAGTGCGCTGTTATCTTGGTGCAAGAGTCCAACTGATATTGCTATGCATTATTTTAAGTTCTACCAACTTGTGGGGCAGGGCCCAGGGAGAGGAGAGAATGATCCAGCCAATCAGCATCATCCCACTGCTTAAAGATGTTTAATCTCTTTCTAGAATATAAGTGACTGTGGTGAAAATGCACAAATTATAGACCATGGCAGAAAGCTACTGGATTAACACTTTCTGGGAAACCAAAGTGCCAGTGACCTGCATAGCAGATTGCAATGCCTGGAAAGCTAAGAGCTGTGTTCCTGGGCAAGCCACTCGGTACTTCCATTGATCCACAACTCAGTGAAACAGAATAGACTCCAAATTCTGCTCAGCCCAAGGACACCCATCTAGAAATTTGGTGTCATGTTCATCTACATTATACATCGTATTTGTAGTGATTCCAGGAGAAAATACAATAATAGGCCCAGTTCAGAGCATGTCTTGTGTTCTTAGTTTGATATCAAATTTAGTGTAGTTTATGCCTCCCCTGTATTTCTAGTTTGGGTTGTGCTACCAGTATCAGTATTCGGGAGCTGTGAAGGTGGCAGTAAAAGGATTAGGCTGCTACATACAACAGGGGGACATCTACGTGATGTGTTTACTGTTGCCTAATTAGCTCTGCAGTAAACGTCTTCACAACTACACGTGCAGCCCTGTTAAGCCACATTAAACTAATAAACTCCACTGTAAGTTAGTACTTGTAAATACAAGTACTAGCCTGCAGTGGAGTTTATTTTATGCACAGTAGCGCACATATAGACGTGGACCCGGCTGTTTGGGGCACAAGGGTGCTTCCATGTGGGGCTGCTTGCTGGCTAGCCCTGCACTGGAGTACCCCTGTGCCCTAGCCAGCGCCTCCACAGCACATTAAGCTGGGTTGGAGCAGCCCTGGCTGGCAGGGATCGGGTGGTGGGGGTGTCAGCCTGGCAGCCCAGGGCTGCTCCAGCCCAGCTCAATGTGCTGCACTCCCAGGTTCATGTGCAGATGTGCACCCAGGAGCAATAAACTCTGGAGTTTTCCCACTTGCATTAATACGCATGTGTAGATGTGCCTGGGGTTTGGGAATTTGAGACCTAATGGCATCTAGAAGGTAGCTGGGGAGGGTAGGAGGGGGGGAGATGGGCATGTAAGCAGGAGGCTTTTGCTAAAATGATAAGCACTGAAATAATATTATTTTCAGTGCTCATAATATCAGAGTTAACCCACAGAAGTGAATGGGCCTGCCTGCCTGCTCTCAGAGTGGAAACAGACATCGCTTTTGTGCCATCATAAAAAAGTTTATGGCAGTACAAAGGCTAAGAAACCAGATGGCCATTCCCCTTGCCATGCAACAAATGCCCAGAATTTGTGGCTGTGACAAAAGTGGCAATAGTTCTTGCTGCTTTATTGTAGTGGACATGTGTTTGTTTTATGACACAAGCATGTGGGCAGCCTGGAGCTACCTGTGCTCTCCAGCCACCCCAGGCAGGTGCTCTAGCAACTTGAGGGGCCTGATTCTGCACAATATCAGGCTCTGTAAGCCCCAGGAGCACCTGCTCAGCTTTCTCCTCTTATGAAGATGTGCCCCAGATTGCCTGGGGTGCATCTTTGCAAGCAAGAAAGCCCCAGCTTTCACCTCTGACAGAAACATGCCCCAAAGAATCTCCTAAAGAAAACCTCTATAAGCAAGGAACATCGTTCATTGTGCCACCAGATCGGGCTGTGCCCAATGCAGGACAACAGGCAACGTCTGTTTTGCACAAGGAAGTGGATCAGCCATGGTGGGTCATGCTTGCCACAGCTGATCTGCTTCACTTGGTGACATCTTTTCACAGGCTTAGAGTGATATTCAAGCTGGCTGCAGACTCAGAAAGGCAGCACTGCATGAGTGATCACCAGGTCATGCTTCCAAGGTTTTCTCTACAGCTGCAAGGGCTGGTTTGGAATGAGGGCAGAGACCCTTGTGGCAAAATTCTGCAGCTGATGCTATAAACTGTGGGCCCTGCTACAGGGCCTTGGTCAGCACTGTGTCCTGCTCAGGGCAGGAGGGATAACTTATGTATCCAAGATAACAGGGGAAGAGGCGAGTGCTTTGCCACTGCAGGTTAAGGGTCAAGGGGATCAGTGTTTTAAGGTCATATGAGAAACCTGCCTCATCCCTTGGGATGAGCAAAAGCTGGGAGTGCCAAATGAGGCCACTGTGAAGGGACTGGTGCTCAGTGCTACCACCCAAGAGATCCAGGCCCCTTCTCCTGTGCAGTTCTTTATGCCTCTTGGTATTAAGGTAGCACTGGAACGGGCAGGGATCATTTGGAGGGGAAGTCAGAGTTTAAACCAGGCCCGTCGATGCGGAGGGCAACTCTTACCCAAGATCTGTGAAGTGGAGCTCTGGAGGGCCTGCTCCCCAATCTTCTGTATGGCCTTGAAATAGACCTCAGCAGCTTCAGACAATGCTGCAAAAATACAGAGGGATTGTATGCTACCCTGTCCCTCTCCACCACTCTTCTTTAGCTCTTGCATCTTTACCACCTCCCTTCCTCATCACTTACTCTCCCACTTCCCTCCCCACCTCTTCTTGGGACAGGCGGACCAAACGGGCCTCCCCAGCCAACAGAGGAAGCAGCATGTGGATACAGACAGGTGGGTGAAAAAGGGGAGGTGAAAGATGGTACTCACCATGGAAGGCACGCAAGTAGTTGTTGCCGAGGTACACCAGGTTCACCAGAGCAGGATTAAACTGCTCCAGGATGCTCTGCAAGCCATCCAGATGAGGAGAGAGGCAAGAGAACAGAACAGGTTAATAGCAACCTCCTCCATGCACCAAGGGCCTTGGGCTTGATCAGGCCAGCACCCTCCCGTTATGGCTCATCTAATAGAGTTGACAGCCACCATTTGGGCAGACACAGGAGAAGGAAAACAGCTTCCCCTCATCCAGAATTTACTGGGTTTTCTTCAGTCACCAGAGGTGAACATCACTTCTCAGCAACCATTTCAAAGGCACTCCAGCTCTGTAGTTTAGTAGAAGCCCAGAGGAAAAGAGGTCTTAAGCTAGTTACATGGCAGCTGTAGCTAGTATACTTATTGAAGTGTTTGTTAAACAGAGCACCTTTGTGGCATATGGAAACGCTGCAAAAACCTAAAGAGAAGAGAAGCCCTGAAGTGAAAGCAAAGTCCTCCTCAGTTTTCTAGCCAAAGGTAGGTGTGGCTCTTCTCTATAAAAGGGAGCCCATTTCAGGAAGTGCCTATCTAAAAGATGTGTTTTACCATCTGATCCGTGCAGAGACCCGGGAGGGCAAACTGAGCCCACCAGCCAGAAGTTGCTATTCCATCCCATGCTGTTGAGCATAAAACACTAAAGCAGTAGAGACAGGCCACCATGTCGGACAATCCTGTTCACAAATGTATCAAGCTCCATCTTAAAACTAGATAGTCTCGTTGTCCCTTCTCCCCTCCTAAACACTGCTGGAGCAGCCTCCTAGCAAGAGCAAAGTCTCCATAAAAAAAAAAAAAAAAGATTGCCTGAGAACACTTGATTCAGTAGAGATTTTTAAACGCTTGACTAAATTCACTGCAACCTTCTTTCAGGGACACGTATTGCCCCCCTGCCACCCCTTAAAAGAAGCTTTCACTGTCTGATGTTGTTTAGGTATAAACAGGTTCTTCTCTAAGTGCACACATAAAGGCAGATGGACATATAAATAATGGGTGTGCGTGCGGACACAGTGCGTATGTCAGGCACTCTAAAGCTTGGCAGTGACCAAGGCACAAAGAAAAGGCAGTGGCACATGCAGGCCCAGGCCTTTGGTTATTGTCCTTTAACATCTTCATTTCAGGGCTCCTACTGCCCACCTGACCATAGACATCAGAAGGAAAGAGGGCAGGTCTGTTTGGTAACATTTAACCCACCCTTTCCCAACTCAAGACAGAGTCGCTCCTGCCACCTATTTGCCAGGACTTGAGTCAGTCCAGTTCTACATACCCCAAAAAAGACTTACCACCACTCCCCTTGGACACTACTCTGCATTCAGCAGAACCCCATCATCAGGAAGCAATTTTTAAAATCAGCCAGAGCATTGCTTAGTTTCAGCTTGGCACTTACCTGCTCTGCTTTCTTGAACCAAACAGGCCTTGTGTCACCTTAGCATTTAAAACACCATTTAAAATGCTAGTGAGACTGGAAAGACTAAATCTCTCTTGCCTAAACTCTGCAGCCCCCTCAACTATTCTAGTTGCTAGTCACCTAATGCCTTCCCCGGTGTCAGTATCTTTCTGGAACTAAGGTGCCCACAGGATATCCTGTCTAGGTTTTCCAGAGAAGGAATTCACTGGAAAAGGTCTTGACATAAATATGCCACAATCACAGATGAGGTCAGCCCCAGTACTGATGGGACCTGTATGGAACTAGACCACATTTCCATCAGTCTGCTCTCAAACCAGATCAGGATTCACAGGGCCTGGCAGCAACACCGGTTTACATCAGCTGAAGATCTGGTCCATGGACTTTCCACCCACAATTCAATCACGCCATTTCTTTAGTCCCCTGAAGCGTGGCATTTCTATGGGCCTTTGGCAACCCTTCCCATGGGATGTTCCTTTTACCTCGTGCTCTCCCAGCCAGCCCACCCGCTGTTCCACAGTACAAGCAGGGGTAACAGGGCTCACCTTGTAGATGGAAATTGTAGACCTGTATGACTCTTCCATTTCACAAAGCTTCTGTGGGGAGGAGGGGGCTCCCTGGAAATAGAGAGGTTGAGGCGAGGCAATGTTGTCCTCAAACCCTCTTGTGAATCCAATTGCAAGGGTTCAGCTGGCTTGAGCTTGCCTCCCTCCTTGGCAAGGCAGGTGACCAGGAAGATGCATACCCTGTTTAAAAAAGAACAACGTTGCAAGGAGGTTTAATAATTCACCAGTCAGGATGTTAGAACTTGATCCTTGAATGTAACCAGATACTCAGGAGAGAGGAATCCTGTGGCAGCCAGGACAAGCACGTGACCCTCTTCTTTAAATATTAATTGCAGGTTTCATTATTCAGTTCCCTCCGCTGAGGGTGGGCGCTGGGCACTTATTTGGGCTGGAGAGCCACTTAAGGGGTTTGGTGAGTTGTTGAGGGCCGACTGGGCCTCAGCCCTATCCATCCTCCTCCCCTCACCCAATCATGGCTGTATAACACCAGCCTGCACAGCAGGGCAGGGCGGTGGGCTGGGTGGATGCCAATTGATCCTATCCAGCCGGTCCAAGGACTTATGGGGACTGGATCATGGCTCTGCCCTGGGCCCCAGCCAACCAACCCACTCCCAGATGCCAATTCCTGCCTGCAGCCCTATCCCATCCACCCGGTTGAGCGCACCCTGCCCACGGGGGTCTCAGGCCAGTCTCCATGGACCCACCTGCATTCTCCATCTGGTGCCCCTGGCAGTGTGGGTGCTGGGTGGATGGACCAGGGCTTCCGGGAAGCGTGGCCTGGTCCAGCAGCAGAAGCAGAGACTGGCAGCAACAGCCAGAGGGCAAAATCAAGCTGCCACCACGGGGGCTGCTGAGAAGCCAAGTCCAGCCACCGCACTGCCCCCGCCCCACTGCCGTGCCACCTGGCCCCACAGACTACAGCTTGCCAAAGAGCCACATGTGGGGATAAGGCACATGGGGATAGTGCAGCCATGCCCAGCAGTGCCAAGGAACCCGCTGCAGGCCAGACAGAGTTACTTGCCTGACTGGGCTCTGACCACCGTCAGTACTTGCCCACTCCTGCCCCGCACATCACATGCTGGTTGTACCGGCTGATGCCATCTCTGGCAGGACAATCTCACTACAGCTCACCACCACCTGGACAAGCACCGGGGTGGGGTCGTCTGACCCCAGCGCGCTTTCCCGGCCAGGGCAGAGGGGCCGGACTCGATGGCCTACTGAGGTCTCTTCCAACCCTAACATCTATGAATTTATGAACCTCATCCACTCCCATTCCTTAGATGAGATAACTTGGTCAATTTGCAGCTCCAGGCACCACTAATGATGGACTTCCTCTACCTCCACTACCCACGCAGGTTAGGATTTGGCCAGTAACCTCTCCACTGCGTTCAGTAGGGGGCAAGGCTCCCCTGGAATATTGTGACCAGTTTTGGACACCACACTTCAAGGACGATATAGACCCACAAGAAATAGCCTGGTGGAGAGCACCAAAAAGATTACAAGTCTGGGGAACACAATTTATGAGGAAAGGTTGGAAGAAGTAGGATTACATTGTCTGGCCAAGAGAAGATGGCCCCACCCGCTCAGTCTGCAAATATGTGAAAGGTAGCTATGAAGAGGATGGTGATAAATTCTCTGTGGGCAGGATGGGAAGTAATGATCTTAAATTGCAACAAGGGAAATTTAGTCTGGATAGCAGGAAGAACTATAGTTCAG